CGGCCTCATGTCTCAAGGATGTGGCAACTGATGCCCGAGGGGCTGTGCTGGGAGCTGCGTCGGTTACAGGTGTTTGGGGCAGGGCGCTGGGTCTGTCATCCTGAAGTCTACTTCCCTGGGCCCAAGGCTGACAACAGGGAACATGCCCTGACATCTACTTGGCCAGCTGCAAGTGGGTATCCTGGACACTGGCATTCAAGGTGAGGGCTGGCTAATTGGATCCCGGGAAGGTCTGGGACGGGAACAGGGAGAAAAATCAAAGTGGACTTGGTTTTCCTCCAGCGCTTGGATTCCAAGAGGCAACAAACAGGGGAAGATGATTATGTCACCACCGGCCCACCCTCAGAGGAGGCGGCGGCTTGGCAAGGACTGGGTGCTCCTCCCAGGAGGGAGGGCAGTGGCGGTGGAGGAGGAGAAGAACTGGGGGTGGGAGGAGGAGGGAGGGAAGGCCCAGGCTACTGACAGGGCAAGGAGCCAGGATCTGTGGCTAGTGGAGATCTTAGAACCCAGCCCCAGCCTGTGGCAGAGACTAGCTCCATGGCCACTGGAGTCCACGGGCCTTGGGAGAGACTCCCAGCTCCCAGCATCTAACTGGGGGCGGTAGGCGGGGGATGACAAATGACTAGTTCTTGCCAATGGAACGTGAACAGCAGTGAGCCTTGGTGCCTCTGGGCTGAAGAGCTTCTTCAGGCTCCCCTTCCTCCTTCCCTTACCTGACGGCCAGCTCTGAGACTCCAGGGAAGACTGAGCTACCAGGTAGCTGGGAGGGCTCTGCAAGTCTGTGTGGAGCAGAACTCCTTTCCCACCCCCACTGGCCCTCAGTGGGTTTTGTTGGGAACAAGTGTTTAAAGCTTTTCCATCCGGCCAAGGAAATGCAGGGTGTTGTCACAGCAGGCCATGTTACTTGTCCTGACTCTGCTGAGACAGTGCTGCTTCACTGGGAGAATGCTCCCCTCCACAGGGGAGACTTGGCTTTGACTCCCAGCCAATGGACCCCAAGTTCGGCCACTATCTGTCTGACAGTAGAAGCTTGCGTGTCTCTGTGCTGCAAACAGGTTCCAGTGAAACTTCCAGACTAAGATGCCCTAGGAAGAAAAGACCTGGTGAGCGACTGCCATCCAGCCCATGAAAACCCGAGAGACCACAGTGGTCTGGCCTGCAGCTGATCCTGGGGATGGTGCAGCCCCGGGCAGCATTCAGGTCTGTTGTACACAGACAGGTCGCCTGGCATGGGGTTGGGGTCGTGATGATGACAGCCCTGTTAGAAGACCCCGTCGTTCAGAAATGCAGAGGAGGCTCCGTGATGAGTGGATAGTGAGGACACTGGCTCCTGATGGTGTGTTTCCAGGAATAAACCTCTAGGGGGTTGAATTCCCAGCACCGATACTAACTAGACTTTGACCCTGAGCCACGGCCCTGAGCTTCGTACCCAGGGCTTCCAAGTGTCTGACCCACTGTCTTTCCACCCCAGATACACTGAATCCCAATGGACATTAATAATTGCCAGGGGGGAGGGTGGCTGTTAAAATGTAGCTTCCGATTCAGTATGTGTGGGGTAGAAATGCAAATTCTCAGCAGATCGGGGGCGGTTAAACCAGGACGAACCAGTTTGAAGCCCTCCTGGCAACCCAGAGTCCAGGGCTGAGTACCCAGGAAGCAAGTCAGTCACAGATTTGCTTGTGCTTACTTGCTGATCGAGTAGTCACGGTGTGTACATTTGAAAAGAGGCTTTGATTCCAAAGGCTGGTGCTGTGGGAAAATGTGACACTGTTCACTTCAGATGAATCAGGAAGCACATGGACACCTGGTTACCTTGCTCACTGGACACACAGACACTACCCGGAGCCTTAGCTCAGCAGAGAGCAGGAGGCCCAGGTTCTAATCTGGAGATGCACCCGGGCCAGAGAAGAACCCCACATCTCTCATCTGAAAAGGGAAGGCCGTGCTACACCTAGCCTGGGCCCTGCTGCCCTCCACCCCCACGCCCATCAGATCCTCGCCTCTCCAGCTTTGGTCTTCTTGGCAGGAAAATGAGGTGGGTGAGACTGCCTTGGCCTGGAACTTAAGCCCTGCCCCTAAACTGGTCCAGTGCACCTTCCTGCTAGGAACCTCAAGTTCAAGTCACAGCCCACGACCCCCTTTCCTGTCATTCCTGAATGCACTCTGCAGGCTCGCCTGCCCTTCCGTGCCTTTGTCCATGCCTCCTCCCCTTCTCCACGCTACAAAGTCCTGCTCACCCAGCAGGGCCCGGCTCAGTCATCCACACTCACTCCTTCAACATTCCCATAAAGCACCGTAGAGCACACCGCTCTATGCCAGGCCATGTGCCGGGAACTGCTATCTGTTGGGGACTTCTACTCAATCGAGGGGGCACTGGAGAGTAGAAGTGTTAGCGGAGTGCTTAAGTGCTCGGCTGCTAATTGAGCGGTCAGAGGGTCGAACCCACCAGTCACTTGCAGGGAGACAGATGTGGCAGTTCTGCTTCGGTAAAGAGCTGCAGGTTTAGAAACCCTGTGGGACAGGTCTACTCTGCCCTCTAGGGTTTGCTAGGAGCTGGCATCAACTTGATGGCAGTGGGTACAGGGCTGGGACACTCTAATGAGAGGGAGAGAGAGAGAACTATTAACCCAGCGGTTCTCAACTTGTGGGACGCAACCCTTTGGGGGGGTCAAATGACCCTTTCACAGGGGTCACCTGATTCATAACAGTATCAAAATTACATTTATGAAGTAGCAATGAAAATAATTTTATGGTTGGCAGGGGGGTCACCACAACATGAGGAACTGTATTAAGGGGTTGCGGCATTAGGGAGGTTGAGAACCACTGTGTTAACTGGTCACACAATCCCATCAGAGATGCAGTGGGAGGAACATTCTAAGAGCACATTTAACAAAGGCTTTGGACTGTAAGAGGGGCCCTGGTGGCACAGTGGTTACGGGTTGAGCTGCAGTCAGCAAGGTCAGCAGTTCAAAACCACCAGTCGCTCCTCAGGAGAAAGATGGGTTTTCTACTCCCTTAAAGAGGTGCAGTCTCAGAAACCCACTGGGGCAGTTCTGCCCTTTCTTATAGGGTCTCTATGAGTCGGCATTGACTCGATGGCAGTGACTTGGACTATAGTTCATAATC